AGCCTGGAGGCGCTTGTGTGGGGAGCCTCCTCGTGAGCCCTTCGCAGGCGCTGTGTGGGACCTAAAGCTCTTCGGCTGCCTACTGGCACTTAAGGCTCGTTCTAAATAATACTTGGCGGTTTTGTTACACCGTAGCATTACTCCCACAGTGGTTAGCTTGAGGCTGAAAACAGCCGCTTCGGTCTTTTTACATGGGAAGTGTATTTCTGTCGAAATTTGCATACCTCCCTTTCTCAGTGTACTTTTTATGCCTTGTATTGCAGTAACAATCTGCATGAAATCCGAGTCTGCCAGGCTTTCTTGGACCTGATAGCTTCGTAGCCCAGATTGTGCTGTGATTGCCGTTATCATCTCAATCTCGGTTTTGTAAATTTCTGGGTGTGTGACTTCAATTTTGGCATCCCTTAGCACTTCTAATTTCTTTTAACTCTTCTCTCTTAATGTTAATTTATCATGTAAGCTTGTATGTGGCCTTTTATAGCACTGATGTTTCTAACATTTTCTCTGAGCTGTGGCAAAGGAAGCCTTGAGAAGTGACTCAGAGCGAGTCCTGTGCGACTCAGGTGGATATTTCACCCTTTATTTTTTCAACTAAGCAGGGCCTGTGTTAGTTTCTGCACTTTCTTTGGCACAGCTACAGACTTTACTCCCAAGTGACCTAGTTCAGGGACCTAACTGGCAGATGTTTAGTTCTGAGATGACCCCTTATGGGGTTCAGGTAAGTGAAGGGATGAGTGAAGAGTACAGGTGGAGGAGAAGGAGGGACTGGACAGCTGTAGCTTCAATTGATTTAAATTGGAATGAAACCAGCACTTTTGGCAAAAAGTTGTGGGTAAGTTGAACACGGATTAGCAAGCTTAAAGAATGCTAGCCAAAAGGAGATGAGGTAACACCATGGTCAGACGTGAAAGCAGCAAAAGACAGTCAGGAAGGTGTGAATATAAATGGGACATACATAGTTCTGAAGTGTCATGTATGAAAGCAAAAGCCCTAAATCATTAGAGGTGTAAATGAGGAGTGGTCAGCCAGAAAAGGAAACAGACAGGGGTCTATGGGCAGTAGAGGGAAGCTTTGTTCTGAGATGGGTAACCCAGGGCTCGTGAGGGATACTTATGGACCATCATGATCTCAGTGTTGATTGACCATACCAATTTTCTTCAACCAATTTTCTATATGAAGGATAAAATTTCAGGTAGTGAAGTAAAAGATTTGTAGAGAACTTGGCGGGGGGAGCACAGGACACACAGGATGGAGCATAGAATACATCTTGCAGAGGATGAGGGAGTTTGCAGGGATGTTAGAGGAACATCTAAAGATGTGTGCTCACTTTGCATTGCCCATTTAATACACCTGGCTTAAACTCCTGCTAAACTACAGCATGAGGAAGCTCGTTGCACGGTGTACAGGGAATTCTAAAGGAAACATGGGCAGTGCACAGTCTGTAGAACAACTTTAATTTTTAAGCAAGAGGATGGCCTCATTCTGTGGAGTACCAGGCAGTTTACATTTTGCTTCCATGGGAGAAGACAGTGTCCTGGGCACTGATGGCAAGACAGCATAGCTGTACTCTGATAAGTCATTCCTAGTCTTGGGACAATTAGTGATTTTATTTTTTCGCCCCTGTCTTCTCTGTTGCTTCTTTTTCTTATTGTTAGTCTTATTTTCAGTTCTTGGCCTGCCATGGAGTTAGAACTATGAGGATTGAGTCAGTTGCTTAGAGGGAAGCAAAGACATTATGATATGGCAAGGTTAATAGGTGTTGCAACTTTGAGTTCAAGTTAATGTCAATAATGATTACAGGCCAAAATGTGCTACCATGTTTTGAATATAGTGGCGTTTTTAGTCAAAACAGTTGACGTTTTGCTAAGTGGGGGTTCCTTTGCTTCTTGATGTTATGCTTTGGTTTGTAAACACTGATACCATAAATGTATGGCCTACGCTCGCTTGCTGAGGGACAAAATGATTTGGGAACAGAATATAACAGGGAAGTACCTTTACATTTTTATCCTTCCCTGGATATGTGCTGCTATAGAGAGAGCAGTTACTGGGCTTAACAAACCTCCTTACATCAATTTCATTTTTCTGTTGGTTAGCTTGCTTTGTCACACAAATTTTTAATTAACTTGTACTTACTTTTCTTTCTGAACTTTTTGTAGCTGGTGCCTTCTAGGGAGCTCTTTTTCATCTTGTGTTCCATCGCTTTACAGTCCATCTGTTGATGCCAACTGTGAAACTCAGTTTGTCATCTTTCCACCCAGCTCCCTCCCCTGGCCCTCCTGGTAGAATCTATTTCTGATGGTTATCTACCAAGTCAGGGCTGGTAATTCCTCATAAAGACACAGGGACTGATGAAATTTTAGGTGGGCAGAAAAGGGATGTTTAATGGGGTGTTGTGGCTGCGTGTGTGTATAGTCTTTGTTCAACCTCACCCTGTCCTTGCCCTGTTGCTGTTGTCACTTCTTGTTAGGTTTCACGAGAGATAAGACAGTTGGTCTGCTTCTTGCAATTTGGTTTATTTTGTGAAGTGCCTGTTGTAATTATTTTTTGCTAAAATTAGATTGTATTTTTGTGAGATGACCTGTTAGCAGTAGCAGCTAGTGTGGCTTGACTTGCTTTTGGGCACAGAATTACAAAAAAAAATAAAAAGCTTGAAAAATCTTTCATTTGTGATGATGATTAGCTGTCCCATGACCAAAGTGCTGAAGAACTTTTTCATCTCCTGTTGCTGCAATAGCTGTCAGTTGGAATCAGTAACATTGTGTGGTCTGGCAAAAACATGCTCAAATGCATCTGGATTTGCCTTTTCATTTGGGATTCATTGGTTTTAAAAAGTCAGAGCTAACATGGAAATAGGGTTTTCGAACTTAAAGCTAAAAGGTACAAACAACATCATTTTCAGTTATAAGCTAGTAGACTTTATTTTTTCAAACGGCTGCCAGCAAACTGTGCTGCTAATGGTAGACTTGGGGATTTCATTATAAATACTCTATTAAATATTTTTCATTCTATAGAAGTTCTTTATTTTTTGACTTTTACTGCAAAAGTACTAAAACATACCTTCAGTCTGTAATAAGTGCATTACTTCAGGATTTTTCTGTTCACATGAGGGAATTGATCAGGTTGATTTTTTTTTTTTTTTTCCTTTTTTCTTCCCTCACAGTTTCAAGTTTTGAAAAGGACAATCTGGCTGAACTCTTGAGTTTCATTGTAGTGTTACTAGTGGTAGGCAGCACTAAATGACTGTGATCCTGTCTGGATCACGCCATTAGGATTTGAGCTTTGGACCTGAAACTGAGTTTCTTGTGTCCAGCTGAAAGACTCTTGATTTTAACTGTACAAACTCACATGGGTGTGTGGACCTGCTATTCAGCTAGGAGGCAGAGAGCCACGTAGTGTAGGAACTGCACATTGTCTCCCTGGCTAGGAGACAGCTTTTAAAACTACCCATAAATCTGTGTCCCAGCCACCTGTTGCAGTATAACTTGTCTACTTCAAACAAGTCACGCTGGGTTACATTTTCATTCCTGTTTTCTTGTGCTTTGATCACTGAATTTGATCACTCTACTTTGGTTGGAGGCATATTGAAAAATATCCAATTCTGATAATCTCAGATTTGGCTTGCAGTTGCTTTATTATTGGAGCAGTTCTTGACTTTTCTGTGAGTGGAGACTGGTGTTTGAAGGCATTAACTACAAACACTAGGAAATTATGTGGTTTGAGTGCCTACTTGCTTTGATTCCCAAGTAAATTTTCACTACTGTGTAACTTGTTCAGTAGCTGTCTTGCCAGGCTTACGTGCTTTAACAGTTTTCTTAGCTGAGCATGGTTTTCCATGAACCAGAGTAACAGTGTTGTTCTTCTTTAGCAAGTCTCCAAAAGCAATATTTGATGCGTTCTGGGAAATGAAATTAATGTCCTTTTTAGAATTGTTGTGGGTTTGGGATTTCTTGATTATTTTTTTTTTTTTTAAATTTTTTTTCTGACAGCTGTTTAAACCTGGGGTTTATTTTAGGGGGGGTGATGTTGCTTGTTTTTTTAATGTTTGGGATTGTTTTTTGTTGAGGGTTTTTTTAGTGGGGTGCTCAGGCAGGGATTGTGTTTTGGGTGTTTTAGGTTTTTTTTGCAACATGAGAATTTGAGACCTTGGGAGTATTTATCCTTATTTGTTAAACTGTGATAAAAGCTTGACCCTTGTTGTCTTTTTGGCAGCAACAGTGACTTTTATGAAACAGCTCGATCTTGCTGTTAACTTCTACCAGCTGAATTCATAGTTCCAGAGCGTGATTTGAGCAAAACTACCTGCTGTGTATGTCATGTCTAGCATCAAAATAATTGGTAGATAATGAAGGCAACAATACCAAATATTTAAATGGCATAAACTGGCAAATGTTGGTGCTTTTCTGAACAAGAAGTATGTTTCACTTCCAGAGTAGTTAGTGTATAGAAGCTGGGAAGGTTATTGATCTGGTCTTTCTTTTTTTAAATCAATCTTCAATGTAGAACAGTAAAAATAGGTGCATGTAGCCAACTCATAGAATGTTTTTGGTTGGAAGGGACCTTTAAAGGTCATCTAGTCCAACCCCCCTGCAGTGAGCAGGGACATCTTCAACTTGCTCAGGTTACTCAGAGTCTAGTGCAGCCTGACCTGGAATGTTTGCAGGGATGAGGCACCTACCACCTCTCTGGGCAACCTGTGCTGGTGTTTCACCACCCTCGGCATAAAAAAATTTCTTCTTTTTTCTGGTCTAAATCTCCCCTCTTTTAGTTTATAACCTTTGTCCTGTCCCAACAGGCCCTGCTAAAAAGACTGTCCCCATCTTTCTTGTAGGCACCCTTTAAGTATTGAAAGGTATAATAAGGTCTCTCCAGAGTCTATAATAAGGTCTCTCTCAGCCTGCCCTCCCAGGGGAGCTGTTCCAGCCCTCTGAATTCATGTGGCACTTTGCGCAAATACTGCGGCGTGCGCTGCATGTTTTGTCTGCTGAGGAAACTCATACAATACTTACTAGATGAAGCATGTTATTACAAGAAGATAACATTGATTTTTTTTTTTTTTGCTAAATGTTAAAAAACAAACAAAAACCCAAAAAACCAAATTATGCTCTTGGTAATTGTGTAGAAGGTTCCTTTAGAGGAGTTCGGTAGGTTAGTGGTTTCTTTTTTTTCTTTTTGGTTGCCTGCAAGTACAGCAAAGTCTATCAAGGCTAGTTTTAACTAGAAGTTTTAAGAAGGCCTTTGATTTATGCCCATTAACTTGTTAGCAAGTCACATTCTGTTTCCTTACTCTGGTAAAAATACTCCCTATGCTGTATTAGGTGTATATAGCCATAGCTTCTAACTCTGCAGATTGATTAAAACATGAAGCAGAATCCTTAAAACAGGAAAAATAAAAGGAGCCCAAGCTGCCATCATCTTAAGTTTCTCAGTTAAGAGACTGAAGCTTATGAGTGCATGTACCTCAGCACCTTCCATTTCGTTAGAGTTGTGCACGCATTACTGTAAAATTTGGCCAGAATGGTGGGATGGAAGCAGTGCAGCAAATCATGTGACCACAGACAATAGTTTTTGCAAACAATTTTGGGAATTCAGTCTTGGTTTCAAATTGAGGCTCTTTTGCTTTATTGATACAATGTTTTTATTTGTTTCTCTTCTAAATCCTTTTTAGGTATTAGTTAGCAGATTTGTATAAACAGACCAGCAAGATGGACACATTATTCGTATTTCACTGAATGTTTAACTCAGTTCAGGTTGGGTTTATGTCCTTCAGGTAAAGCTTGGATGCTTAAGAAAGCTAACTTGATAATTTTATTAACCAAAATGCAAATTTCCTGGTTTGTATAGTAAAAGGTAATCAGCTACATTTTCAATTTTTCTGTGCTCTTATTTTCAGATTACGACTGATGGGAAGCCCAAGATAGTTGACATAATTGATACAACAGGCAGTGGTGATGTAAATACATGCACTGTTGTAGAACCTAAAGATGGGGAAATCACCGGTCTCTCTGGAAGGACTTTAAAGGTATTTGGTGGTACAGACACCACTGGGCATCATTTGCTTGCTTTCTTGTTTAACAACCAATTTAGCACCTATTTTGGTTTCTGCAGAACTTCCTTTTAACCAGATCTTATGCAAAACTAATACTGCGTTTGCCTATCTTCATGTTAATTACTTGACATTTAATTTACTTTTTGTATGTCTTTATATTGAATATACTTTATAGCTGAATGAGGATGTGTACAGAGTTGTGGGGAGCTTGGTAGTCATTTAATTACTCTTTTGAAATCAGTATCTGATGTAGGTTTGGAACTTGGCTGAAGGAAACATGTTTAAATGCTTTAAAAATATCAGACACAGGTCTGTCTTTAAAAGCAGCATTTTCCACATTTGTATAAACTATAAGAGAAATATTAAGCTCCTAAATAGTTCTAGAGACTGAAAAAATTGTGAGGAATTAATTGTAGGCTTACTGCATTCTCACTGTGAATAGAACAGAAATGGAGTGGGGTTTTCAGAAAGGACATGACGAGATCTAGTAGAGGTCTGAGCTACACAGAACTGATGATGTTACTGACATTCTTGACAGACTGCTTAGATTGTTGAAGTGATATGGGGGCATCACATCTTTGGATCTCTCTGTGCTACCAGCTTGCTTTTGAATTTTGCATAGGATATGATTATAAGGGTGAATCCTGCTTTCTCTTGCTGTTGTTACCAGGAACAGTGAGTCTGATATACTGAGAGTCTAAACTGCAGTAAGATATGAAATTAGATATTCAGACGTTTGTCATGACCTCTGACCATTGTAGCCCTTCATGCTAGGGTGCTTCTTTTCATTTGAGTGCTGTTATTTCCCAGACCTTGACGCAATAAAGTCAGTGCTGGAGCTGACTGTTGTAAAAGTAGAGTATCAGGGCAGCTGATACTTAAAAGATGTTCAGTGGCAGTGTCATGTGACTTGATACTGATTCCTTTGGAACTGGACTAAATTGTCACATCATGTTGTTGAAACTTAGTGCATTAGTTACTGTTATGGAGACAGGGAATTAAGTTGGTGGTATTTGCAAATCTCTTCTGCTAAGCTCTCTTACGTAGCGTGTGTGTTTTTTTTTTTTTTTTACATCATTAGTTAACCTATTTCTGAATATACTTTTCTGTAGATTCCAGCAAATTGGGTAAATCCTTCAGGCAAATATCACATTGGCATAAAAAATGGCTACGATATCTATCCTAAAGCTCTCAAGGAACGGATTCAGGTAAGGAATTACATTTTGCTTCTGGTGTGTAGTCACTTTTCACTATTCCCATTCTGAAGATTTTCTAGGAAAATACAGTATGTGATTTGCTAACACACATGGGCTGTTAGCCAGTGCTTGAGCTATACTGTCATGGATTTTTGTTTAGTTTTGACATGATTAATTTCTTCTGTGATTTTTCAGAATAACAGGAGGTGGCCTGGCCTGGTTGTCCTCCTCACGGTGGTCCACTGAGGCAAAAAATCTAGAAGTTACTGATATCTATTTCTTTTTTTTGTGTGGCAACTGCTGTTTATTTACAGGATTGTGTTGAACTTTTTTAGCCATTCTGTCTCAAATCAGTATTTTCTAATTATTTTGTAGTCTTCCTACTTTGACACATTTACTTATTAGTCTATTGAGGAACCTGGGTTTATTTTACAGAAAGAACGCAAGGAAAAGCTCTGGGATCCTGTTCACAGGCTGGCTCTAGCAGAAGCCTGTAGGAAACAGGAAGAATTTGATGCTACTCATAGCTCTCCCTCCCAGGTTTGTATATATCTAAGTTGATAAACTTGTTTGCAACAATTTGTGATTGGTTGAGAGGATTAAAGTTTCTTGTTAGATGAGTGAAGGAAAGATACTTGTGATTATTTTGGCAGATGATTTAGCAGTGCATCTTTTGATTCATTTTAAAAGTCTGTACGTGGATGGTTGTGTGCTAACTTTCTAAACTTCTCAAATATGAAAAGAGTATTACCTCAAATACTTCATAGCGTATCTTTAGTAAGTTTTATTTTTAATTTAATATGCTCTTTTTTCAGGTTGTCATCCTTGTATTCAAAGATGGAATCTTCTAAACGTAGCCTTTCTTTTGTAAACTAGGCACTGTTTTAGTGAAGTACCAGAAATGCCTTAGATCACTTCTGTATCATTTAACAATATGGAAGGGGGGAAAAAAAAGGGCTTTCAATGTTACCATTGCAGAAATTGGAAGTAGTCCTACATAACAGGCCCAAAATAATGCACTGTTGAAGACCATTAAACTTCTTAATAATCTTACATTCTTGATGAAGTAATAGAACAAATGTAAAGCATCTGAAAGGAATATAGGATTAACTGTCTTGTAAAAATTTTAGAGATAATCTAACTTGTTGCCTTATTATAATTAACTTTGTTGCCTTATTAGGTAAATAAGCTAATAAAGGAAGAGCTTCAAAATCAAGTGGAACTGTTAAATTCTTTTGAGAAAAAATATAGTGATCCTGGCCCAGTATATGATTGTCTGGTATGGAATGATGGTGAGACCTGGAGGTAAATGCCTAAACTTGTCCAAAATGTCTCATTCTACACATAAGACAACAACTCATGTTAAGGACTGTCAGCTTTTTAAATCTACCACCTTTACAGAGGTCTGAAATATTGTTCACTTTAAAAGAATCCTGCTGTATCACTTGAGTTTCATTACAAAGTTTCAATCCCAAATGAAACTGGGGTAGAATTAAGTTGTATTAAAGACAGCATGATATGAAGTGTAAGCTTGTGGGATTTCCCCCTGAGGCAGAGTAAAATTGCTTTGAGTATCCACTGGTGATAGGGAAAAGAAAACAAACAAACAAACAAAACAAAAAACAAACAAACAAACAAAAAACAAACAAACAAACAAAAAAAAAAAACAACAACAAAAAAAAAAAAAAACCAAAACCAAAACAGAAGTCTTTGCACAAACTTCAGGATGTCATATGGTACTTTCTTGGCTGATAATATGCATCATGCAAAACACTGGGCAGGACTTCAAACGTTTGTGCATCAGCACTGAGCAGCTAGCTTTAGTAAAATTTCTTCCTTGCAGAAGTTGTCTGAATTTCCATATGCTTGCTTTTCAAAGACAGATTTATTTGAATTTAATAGCATTAAAAAATCAGTTTATTTAGAGATCTTTGTAGTTTCTGAATCTAAGTGTAAACAACCAGGTTTAAAAATACTGACTTAAAGAAGTAAGATACCATAAACACTACCAGATTTCTGGAACTCTTTGTGGCACTCTTTGCAGAGAGGGGGCAGGTGGGTATAGCCAGCAGTTTACAGCAGTTGGAAAACTGCCTTTTTTTGCTTTTGTCAACAGAGCCTGCATAGATACAAGTGAGAGTGGTGACTTAACTAGCTGTACAGTGCTGAGAACCTACAAAGAAGCTCAGGAATATGGATCTTTTGGAACATCTGAGATGTTGAACTATTCTGTGAATATATATGATGATGGAAACCTTCTTTCCATTGTGACAAGTGGAGGTAAATGAAAGTAATCTTAAGAAAATTTTGCCGCTGAGGAGCAATCATGAGAAGCAGCAAATTGTATTGGGTCCTGATTCTGAAGGCTGTGCTAAGACAGCTGCCTTGAGCCATCCCAAGTATCATGCTTGCTTGATTCCCCTTTTATCATACGTGGGATGGCTCAAGGCAGCTCTTATTACAGCATTCATTACTATGGCGATCACGATCAACACTTCTGTTTCCTGAACTAAACCTTATAAGGAGAGCTTATTACCAAACTTGTTTGGGTTTTTGTCTGAAATATTGTAAACTTTGTGTTCATATCCATGTATGCATAGAATCTATGTGCTTGGATATCTTTAAGGATGTTCCTGCATCATGAAAGTTTAAAATAGAGTCTTCTTTCAAAGTACCTTTTTCAGTTTTTCTTAGTTATAGGGTGATAATTGATTTATTACTATTTTTAATTGCTGTCTTTTGTGCTTGTACAATTTAAAAACTTTAAATAAGACATCCATGAGTAGAAGGGGTGGGAATTTTTATTTTGGTTTATCAAAATTTTTTTTGTGATGGCAGGTGTCACTATAGCTCCAACCTCAGCTAGTTAGAACCCATATTTGTATATTCTTTATGTATTCATGTTTTCTTTTGGAAGCATCCTGAGTGGTTGTGGTGGTATGGATGAATTTGATTTGAAAAATGCTCTTAATTTGTCATGAAACTAAGCTGTCTTAGAACTACAGAAGCAGTGTATCATTTCCATAATTTTGTATAGGGAGTGTTGAGCCTTTTAAGTAACTTTTGTTAGTGGATTTAGATTAATGCTACATTTCTCTCCAGCTGCTGCCTTCTTTCTGCCCTTAAAAAGATGTTTTATTTTGCAAATTGCTGTTGTTTAGTGGCTTATTTTTTTTTCTTAGAGTATTACATTTATTAAATAAAGTGATTGGAGTCCTGGGCTCATTTTTTAGAATTACAGAATCATTCAGGTTGGAAAAGATCCCTGAGATCAGAGTCCAACCATTAACCCAGCACTGCCAAGTCCACCACTAAACCATGTCCTTAAGTGCCACATAGAATCACAGAATGTTTTAGGCTGGAAAGGGCCTCTAGAGGTCAACTGGTCCAAGCTCCCTACACAAGTAAGGACATCTCTACCTAGGTCAGGTTGCTCAGAGCCCCATCAAGCCTGACCTTGAATGATTCCTTAGATGAGGCATCCACCACCTCTCTGGGCAGCCCATTCCAGTGATCTATCACCCTTATATTAAATAACTTGTTCCTAATAACTAGTCTAAATCTATGTTTTCCTAGTTGAATACCATTACTCCTTGTTCTATCAAGACCTTCCCCTGCCTACATGTAGGCCCCCTTCCCTATCTCTGGAAAGTCACTATAAGGTCCCTGCAGAGCCTCCTCTTCTCCAGGCTGAACATCACCAACTCCCTCAGCCTGTCTTCATACTAGAGATGCTCCAATCTCCTGATCATTTTGGTGGCCCTCCTCTGGACATGCTCCAATATGTCTACATCTACACATCTTTTACGTACCTCCAGGGATAGTGACTCCGCCACTTCCCTGAGCAGCCTGGGCAACCCTTTTGGTGAAGAAATTTTTCTTGATGTCCAACTTAAACCTCCCCTGTCACAACTTGAGGCCATTTCCTCTTCTATCACTTGCAGCTGGGAGAACAGACTGACCTCCACCTTGATACAGCCTTCTCTCAGGTAGCTGTAGAGAGTGATAAGGTCTCTCTGGAGCCACCTTTTCTTCAGGCTAAACAATCCCAGTTCCCTTAGCCACTCCTCATAAGACTTGTGTGCTAAACCCTTCACCACCTTTCTTCCCCTTCTTTGGACATGCTTCAAAACATCAATGTCTTCCTTGCAGTGAAGGGCCCAAAACTGAACACTCTCCTTAGCCACTCCTCATAAGACTTGTGTGCTAAACCCTTCACCACCTTTCTTCCCCTTCTTTGGACATGCTTCAAAACATCAATGTCTTCCTTGCAGTGAAGGGCCCAAAACTGAACACTCTATTCAAGGTGTGGCCTCCCCAGTGCTGGCTGAGTACAGGGGGAAGATCCCTTCCCTAGTCCTATTGGTCTTGCTATTTCTGACCCAGGCCAGGATGCTGTTGGCCTTCTTGGCCACCTGGGCACACTGCTGGCTCATGTTCAGGTGGCTGTTGACCAAACATACAGTGATACAACTTTGATTTGCTCAGGAGCACATGGAACACATGTGGCTAGTATTGCAGCGGGATACTTTCCAGAAGAACCAGAACGAAATGGGGTGGCTCCTGGAGCTCAGATTCTTGCAATCAAGATTGGTGATACGAGGTTAAGTACAATGGAAACTGGCACTGGTCTAATAAGAGCTGTGAGTATTTCATTGAATATATGATTAATCTCAATCAACGTGACTTAATTGTAGAATATTGTGGAGCGCTTTCTGCTCTGTTTTTATGGTTCTAGAATAATTCAAACAAAAAAATCCCCAACAGTGTGTCCATCCCCCCCGAATATCCAAACCAAACTGACCCGACAAAAATTATTTTAAAATGTGTCTTAAGACTTATTTTTTTTAATATAAACCAAGCAGTTACAGGATTTTTCAGACTGATAGAGTTGCAGTGTGTCAGGCTAGCTTGATACATGGGCTGCATTACTTGTTTGCTTATTTAAAGTTCCTTATGCTGTGTTGTGAGTGTATGTTTTTTTAATGGTTACCTAGGTAACTATAGAGTACTTAAATGGAGCAGAGATTACTATCTACCTGTGTAACTCAATTTGTTCTTTTAACTCTGTTTCTTAAGAGTGAGGAAAAAATCATTCCTTTTTAATGATGAAAGGCTCAAGACCTATATAGTGAGTTGATGGGGAAAAATTTTGCACAGGAAAAGGAGATGAAAATAGCCAATTGTATTTGTGACCTATAAAATATCTTGCTATAGTGACATGAAGGTGTGCAGTAATGTTTTTGTGATCTTTTGGAATGAAACCAAACTCCACAGGAAAGGAGCATTTTTATGTTGCTGAGGACAGACATTTGAGACGATACCAATGGTAATGTCTTAATTTATAGCTTGGAACATGGCAAGAATAAGATTGTTCAGGGAGTGCTTTGGTTTGTTGTGTGAGGTTTTTTTTTTTTCCTTATTCTGTTTGTTCATTGGGAAAATACCACTTAAATAACTGATTGAAGTAAATTGAAGTACTTTCTTTTGTAGAGTCAAAAGAACTTTATCCCTTTTTCTTAGAGCTGTAGCAGATCGATTTAAGCAGATGTTTTTTACTATTCCTTAAGTAAGTGACTAGTATGTATCTTGGCTTTTATTTTTACTTGAACAGATGATTGAAGCAATAAAATACAAGTGTGATCTTGTCAACTATAGCTATGGAGAGGCAACACATTGGCCAAATTCTGGGTAAATACTATTGTGCTTAATATAAAGTATTTCAGTATTACAGAAGTTGAATTACATTTGATGAGCTCTGTGTAAATGATTTGTCAGTAAGAATAAATTGTCCAGGCCCACATGATTCATATGCTTTAGACTGGGGCAGTTTCCATGTTTAACTATCTTTGGAACTTAAGTAAACCTGTTGAAAGTGCTATTCATTTTTAAAGCAAGGAATATTTTAGAACAATAAAGAACTGTTTAGTTGGAGTACTGCATCATCTGTGGGGGCTTTTTTAAGACCCACAATTGCTACATAACTGTTAGCCCCTTTTTAAAACCAGAAGATATTTTTTGTGGCCAGTTTCTGTGCTGGAACTGCCTCTGCGAGGTGTGGGAAGCAGGCTGTGTAATAATCTTTGTTCTGTGACTGTTCACACACAGTCTACTACAAATGGGAATTTTGCCCTTTGAGAAGAAAGCAATACTGTTGGTGAAATTACTTTTTTTTTTTTTCCTCGTATCAGGAGAATCTGTGAAGTAATTAATGAAGCAGTGTGGAAACACAATGTAATCTATGTTTCGAGTGCAGGAAATAATGGCCCTTGCCTTTCTACAGTAGGTTGTCCAGGTGGAACTACATCCAGCGTAATAGGTAAATAATTTGTTTTGAAAAAAGATTTTGACAGTATTCAGCTTCTATCATTTCAAGCTTTGTACTCATGGTACACATCTGAGATCACCAGTTGATTGCTGAACTAAATATAGAAATGATCAAAAATGTAGAAGGTTAATATTCTATTCCAGTTGAATAAAAATGAAAACTTGATGTTTACATAATACTTTAATATCATACAGTATGACCATCAGCTTTGTTACTGCATAGCATGCTGCTTTACACTTGGTTTATTAAAATAACTGGATTTATTGAGACGGAAAGTGTGTATTTCCATTTCTAAATGTCAAGTGAAAATTCTTCTCATAATGAATTTAAAACGGATCTATTTTTTGCTTTTAATAGAAATTCGTTGTACATCTAAAATGCTTGAATATTGTTTTGCAGGTGTTGGTGCCTATGTATCACCTGACATGATGGTTGCTGAATATTCTTTAAGAGAAAAACTGCCAGCAAATCAGTATACTTGGTCATCCCGAGGGCCTAGGTAGGTTACGCTAAAAGAACAAGTTAATTCCCTTCGGGTTCAGAATATGTAATTCAAAATCTACAAGCTGGTCATTAATACCAAAATAAAAATATTTCTTCCCCATAGGAAGAGCACAGGTAGCCTGCTGTGCTTGGAAGCCACTTGTATGTCAGGCTCTGGCTAGTGAAGTGGCAACATGCAAAAGTAGAGATCTGGATTTTGGATCTTTTCTAGTCTTCCTCTCCTGTTGTCACAGTCTGGGGTTAGGGCCACCCCCAGACTGGTAACTGACACTCTCTGTTAACCCTTCTACCTCAACTCGAAGGGAAGGAGAAAGGGAGTAACAGAGAGAGACTTATTGAGTAGAAAAGAGAAGACAGCAGCTTTTAATACTACCATTAATAATAATAATAGTAATAATTATAATAA